GTTGAGAGGATCACAGGATATTCCATTTCCTACTGGCAGTTCTGTGTTGTTTAAATCCAGGTTCCTGTTATCCAGCCCATTGGGTGGTACTGTATTGGGCACCTGTGCTGGGCTCAATTAGGAGTGACAGCTCCCAGCCAGTGTTTTACCGCATTTAACAGAGGTGAGGGAATAGTAGTTCCAGAGGGAACCTCTGAGTTCTTTAAACGTGAAGCTAAGGTAAATTAATGCACCTTTTTATGTGTGCTACAGAATTATCAAGTAATTATTGAGCATTTAATATAGCTTGACTGACAATAAACATTTATTGTAGGAGCCAAACTGCCTGGATTTTAACTGTAGTTCTATTTCATACTAACCATGTATCTTCTTTGTGCCTCATTTCTGTCTATAAAGTGGGGATAATAATGGCACCCACCTCTTAGGGTCGTTATAAAATCATAGGAGTTAATGTTTCTTAATTCTTCTGAACAGTGCTAGGCACACAGTAACTGGTGCTACACAGCAGCTATTATTATTGCTATTATTGTTAGTAAATAATTATGTCTATGCTGAGTGTGTGTATTCAACTAGATTTTCACACTATGGGAACATAATCGTCACATCTCTGGAACTACTAAAGAGAAGATAACATGCTAACTCATTTTATTAGTTCAGAGACAAGGTCAATGATCATGAAGTGCAAAATTTTGTGACTTAAGGTAGCAGATGTTAGAGGATTCTTGTCTTTAGTTACATAGGTGAGGGCAACAGGATTGTTTTAAAACAGGAATGTTCAGTGAAGGACCTGTTTGGTTTGTTGTGAGCCCCCGGCCATCTAATGGAAGAGATAGCAGGCTTGCTCAGCTGCGCCATAGCAGGAGGTCTGGCCCCAGGAATGCAGGATCCATGATTCACAGAGCTTCTGTCTCTGAAATTGAGAAGGCTTAACCTGGGGTGAAATTGCTGGGATTTTCTTTGTGGATAGCTGGCCTAACCTTGTCCTTTGGAAGCATTCTTCTCCCCTTACATGACCTGCTTGGGTAGGCAGGTGCTGGTTCTGCTAGCTGTACCAGAAAATAGTTTATTTTGCAACTGTAAGTTTAGAAAATTTTAAATCTTTAGGTGAGTGATCACGATAGTAAAGAATATACTAAAGATTTTTAGAGTTCATGAGTACTTGGGATTTCTACTTGACTTTGTGTTCATAGGTGCTCTACTTGCCTGCAGAAGATAAATGGCTTTTGCCGTAAGGTGTGGACCTTGGGTGCTTATTGTCCATGTTTACTCCCTGGGATTTAAAAATGTTTAGATCCTTGGTTCTCAGCTCCAACTGCACATTAGCACCACCTGGAGAGCTTTTAATAAAAGAGAACTCCATGGGCCCAGAGCCCAGACCAATTAATCAAAATCCCTGGGGGAGGGTGAGGCTGGAAACTGGTGGGTTTTACCAGCCTCCTAGGTGATTCTAATGTGAAACCAGGTTTAGAGTCCCTGGCTTAATTTAGAATAATGAGATCTCCTGCATCAATAGGAGAATAGTTGCTTTTCTGGGGACTGCCCACCCCAGTGTATCACAGTATTCTGTCATTCATCTAATTGCTGCTTTTCTTGGATAGAATGACTGAGAGTCCTGCTATTGCCTTAGTTTAGTTTATAAAGATCCTTCTCTTTTTGTCTTCTGTTGAAATTTTTATTAGTACCACAGCAAAACAGCCTCTTAGTTATTTCCTATTCTCCAGTCTGCATGTCAGTAGAGGACTGTTTTTCTTAAGAAATTGGTTAGTTCTATCTGCTGAAAATTTAGTTTGGTGATAACAGCCAGAACAAACAAGTTACAATGAATTGATTGCGTGGTTAGGAGTTCAGGGAGGTGAAACATTTTTTTTTTAACCAAGCATCCTCTCTGCCTGGGTATTGACTGAATGATTTCACTTAACTCCCCCATCAGTCTTATGAAATAGACAGTGTCACCTGTGTGTTAAAATATTAAGTTATTTGACCAGGCACTGTAGCTCACACCTGTAATCCCAGCACTTTGAGAGGCCTAGGTGGACAGATCATGAGGTCAGCCTGGCCAATATGGTGAAACCTTGTCTCTATTAAAAATACAAAATTATCCGGGTGTGGTGGTGCACAGCTACAGTCCCAGCTACTCAGGAGGCTGAGTGAGGCAGGAGAATTGCTTGAACCTGGGAGACACAGGTTGCAGTGAGCCAAGATTGTGCCACTGTACTCCAGCCTGGGCAACAGAGCAAAACTCCATCTCAAAAATAAATAAATAAATAAAATGTTAAGTAACTTGACCAGGTTCTATGGTTTGTCTACCCAGAGCTGTTCCTGTATCCTCTCAGTCATATATCACAGCTACCTCTGATCTTATGTATTGCATTTCTACAAAGCCATGAAAATTATTCATGTCAAAATATTTTCATCATGAAAGTTAATTAAAAGATAATTAAATAAGCGTTCTCATTTTACTTTTAGAAGTATTAGGATACAAATATATAAAACACTTTTTTCTTGACTAATCTCTGGAAAGAAGTTTTAATATTTTTAAAGACTGGAAACAGGGTACAAACTCCTTTGCCCCATGTTAGCGTAGGGCAACTGAATTGTTCATTTTGGATCCAGACTCTTGCTCAGATTTCAAAAGGTGGGAAGGCCTATTCTGTCTTCTGTAGCTCATTTAAGAAACATAGGCTAATATATTTGCCTGTATTTTCCTTTTCTTTTTGTCTTCTTTTCTCTTCTCTTCCCTTCTCTTTTTTTCCGTTTTTAAAAAAACTTGTAAAAATATTGCATCCTGGGATTTAATAGCAAGTAGTAGAGTGGAAAGTATTATGTGGGCATCTGGAACCTGAAAATGGTTCAGTTTCTGCATTGATTTCAGTGCTTTCTGAAGTGTTATCTGCAGCTTTTCTATCTTAATTGATGATCTTTCTTTGGAAAGATCATGAGAGGTATAGGTAAATAAATGAAACATAAAGGCTATCACCTTTAGGACTCTTAAAATTTATTTTGTAATCCATTATATTTAGGATCTGCCTTGAAAAAATCACTTTTAAATAATTAGCAATATAGTATAAACATTTCTTTGACACAGCTCAGATGGAAGTTGTATTGATTTACAGCAATAAAACATGCATTTAAATAACAGATTTAATTATACCAGTTAATATCTGAAGGAGAAGAGGTCAGAAGTACATATTTTTGTGAGCTGATCTCTGTAGCTCTCATGCAAGGACTTTTCCAGAAGAGGTCTAGTCATATCTAGAATAATGAATAGTTTGCTGGGAAGGAATTACTGTGCAAGTAAGTTTGCAGAGATAAATGACCCAGAAGAGTTGTCCCGTAAAATATTGTCATGTAAATCCAAAGCATGGTTATTTTCTGGTTAATGTGGAAAGTTTAGATATACAGGTGCTTATGTATTATTTTATAAAATATGTACTAAATGCCCACTGTGTGCAAGATGATTAGATGCTATGCTGAATACAGAGTTAAATAATATTAACCAATTGATTGGGATAGGTAAATAATGCATTATAATACCAGATACAGAGACATAAATTAAGGTTAAAAAACTGCGTGCTCTGTGGGTGAGCAGAGGTAGGAGCATTGGTGTAATTATCATAATCCATGGCTTAAAGCATAAGACACCTCTAATAAGATTTAACACTGTAGACCAAGTGATTCCTTTAGTCAGTCATTCATAAATTGTTTATTTATTTTCTAAATTTTGGTTAATTTTTCTGTTTCCATGTGTAGTTTTAGTTTGTAGTTTGTAGCAAGAGGTATTCTTACTACCCATGTGTTGATTATATTTTTCTTCTACTTGTTTTGGAATTAAAATGAAATTGCATGGAAAATAGCAGACTTATTTTGTGAGATTTATCTCTGAAGCCTTTAAGACTACTATATGTTCAGTGTAGCATAGCTTAAAAGGTAGAATAGCTTTGAAGAAGATATTGAGCCAAGTGACTTTTCCATGACTTCTGTGTTATCAGTGTGGTTTGTTATAGAAATAGAATTGGCCTGCTGAGCTCTATGGTTAGGAATCTACCCTGGAACATAGCTAAAGAAGTTGGATTAACAGAAAACATCCAGGTATCCTGGATTCATGGAAGTTTCCATTTGAAAGAAACCTTGAAGTTTATCTAATTCAACCCCATTGGTTCAAAAAGATGGAGGCCTTAGAGATGTTAGGAAATCAGTCTGGTGATTATGATAATCTGGAGAGATCTTTGATAGTGATATACTTTACTATTTTTGTTATTTCTTGGATGGAGTTAAAATTACATTGTTATTTGCTATTTAGAATTTGCCAGCCATTAAGAAGAGACATGTAAAGAAGATAACAGATAACTTAAAACTATGTGAGCAGATTTTTATATTTGTCGTCATTTTTATTAGGATTTTTGTTTTCTGACTCCATCTTTTTTTTTTCCTGTAAGCCCCCATTCTGCGCTTAATAATGATGAACAGGATGATTGAGGGCAAAATGAGATAGGAAAATTATAAAAACAAAATTATAATGAATGATTCACAAATCAGAAATAACTATAAAGGAACAAAATTGGGCAGTTATTTTAATGAAAAGTGTGCCTTTTAAGCAGATATCAGGAAGTTTTACCATAGCTCCATTTTATATTGTAAAATACAAAATTATCTATGTTAGTATTGCATAGTAATGGTGATTATGATGATTTGCTTGATATGTTTGGTTTAGAATGTGTATACATAATTATTGTAACTTTTGGTCATTCATTTCCAATGTAATTTGTGGAGAGATCTTTATCTCACCACAAATTGAATAATTAGATTTTTCAATTTTCAGTATACCACAAAAATATTTTTTCCTAGTGACACACAGACACACATAGAAACACACAAATAAGAAGATAATTCTGACTAACTTTTCATGAAACATTACCGTTGTCAACACAACACGAAAGTATAGGATGAGCACGTGGTGGTAAGAGCAAGTTTTATAATAAATGTGGATTTTTTTCTTGCAGGTACATGTTGGGACTCGCAGCAATTCCAGCAGTTATACAGTTTTTTGGCTTTCTCTTTTTGCCTGAAAGCCCTCGATGGCTTATTCAGAAAGGACAGACTCAGAAGGCCCGTAGAATTTTATCTCAGATGCGTGGTAACCAGACCATTGATGAGGAATATGATAGTATCAAAAACAACATTGAAGAGGAGGAAAAAGAGGTTGGCTCAGGTATGTAGACTTCATACTTATATGAATTTAAAAACTATACAGTGATCTTATTTGTTATTATTTTGTGTGTGTATACATATATTTTTAAATATATATATTTAAAATATATGGATATTTATACATATCCATATATATAAAATTATATGTGTATTATTAACTGTCCATATTAATTTAAAAGCTATTGAAAATAATCTTTGTAAAAAATTAAGGCCGGGCATGGTTGCTCACGCCTGTAATCCCAGAACTTTGGGAGGCCAAGGCAGGCGGATCACGAGGTTAAGAGATTAAGACTATCTTGCCCAACATGGTGAAACCCCGTCTCTACTGAAAAAAAAATTACGAAATATAGCTGGGCGTGGAGGTGCACACTTGTGGTTCCAGCTACTTTGGAGGCTGAGGCACAAGAATCTCTTCAACCTGGGAGATGTAGGTTGAAGCGATCTGAGATCATGTCATTGCACTCCAGCCTGGCAACAAAATGAGACTCCATCTCAAAAAAAAAAAAAGGAAAAAAGAAAAAAGGAAAAATTTAAAATGCTTTGTTTACATGTGTTAAATTAATTTTCATATAAATTTTTATAAAGAATATGAGTACCTCATATTTTATGTATTCTATGTACTAGAATGGGAATAAGTTTGTGTTTCCCTATTTTCATTAAAATATTTAATTCACCGTTTGTTCTGAAATTCACCATGTCAGAAAACCAAAAAAGAAAAGTCTCAGTAATTTATGTTGATGAATTTATTTTTGAAGAAGATACCATATAGAGATTTACAAAACAATTCTGAGGTGGGATCTATAGTCTTGACAGTCTGCTTTGGGTAAGTGATTTGTAGGATGTAAACGATGGGAAAACGCAGACATTTCAAAATACATTTTTTCAACAGTAACAGCCTGTTCACTTCACATTTCCCAAATTGGCCTTATTTTCTGTTGAGCTTCCTTTTGCCTCTACATTAATTGGTAGCTCAGGGGAGAGGCAGATTTTTATTACTCAAATTATTTTTCTTACCTGAGAAAATGCCAAGCACACCCACTCCTTTGTTGCTACATGTCATACACAGGTGTTAGAAGATCTGTCTGGTCACCTTCTCCTAGCATCTTTGATGGAGCTGACCATTGTTGTCTTCCTGAAACAACACAATGAGCACTCTGAAGACGCTAGACTCTGTGTTAGCCACATGTGGCTTATTCAACTTTATGTACCAGTAGCATGATGCTGTTACTTTCTTGCTCAGATCAAAGCCTCAACTAACTGTGAGCTCATTGTATGTGAAGGTCATTTTTTTTTAATACTTTTTGAGCATCTGCTAGGTGTCCAGCAAAGTAGGCCTTTCCAGAGTAACATTAGTGCAGAGATTAAGGAGAATTTTGCTTTAACAGAATGATTTACTGAGTTCAACATTGTGTTCATGAAAAAATACTATCTTAGGCTAGGCATGGTGGCTCCTGCTTGTAATCCCAGCACTTTGGGAGGCTGAGGTGGGTGGATCACGAGGTCAAGAGATCAAGACCATCCTGGCCAACATAATGAAAGCCCGTCTCTACTAAAAATACAAAAATTAGCTGGGTGTGGTGACGCGTGCCTGAAGTCCCAGCTACTCAGGAGGCTGAGGCAGAATAGCTTGAACCTATGAGGTAGAGGTTGCAGTGAGCAGAGATCACACCACTCCACTCCAGCCTGGGAAACAAGACAAGACCCGTCTCAAAAAAAAAATTATCTTAAAATATCTGTTTAAATTACAAATAACTTATTTTATGCTCCTGTCTAAATTCCCCTTCTCAATAGCACAAATGAAATATTAATTGCTTGTTTTTTTTTTTTTGAGATGAATCTCACTCTGCCACCCCGGCCGCAGTGTAGTGGTGCAATCTCGGTTCACCGCAACCTCTGCCTCCCGAGTTCAAGTCATTCTCCTGCCTCAGCCTCCCCAATAGCTGGGATTACAGGCACCTTCTACCACAGCTGGCTAATTTTTGTATTTTATGTAGAGAAGGGGTTTCACCATGTTGGCCAGGCTGGTCTCAAACTCCTGACTTGAGGTGATCTGCCCACCTCAGCCTCCCAAAGTGCTGGGATTACCGGCTGAGTCACCACGCCCGGCCATGAATTTGTTTTAATTGTAGTAATTAGTGCATTTGAAGCTCATGTACAAAAAATGTTTATGTGGAAAAACTTTTCAGAGTAATAAAGAAATTGTTAAATATTATTTAGGGCCTGTATTTTTATTAATTTATATAAAGGATAAGACAATTTAATATTTGAAAGCCTTCTTGTTTCAGGATAGGGATATCATTGATTTTACTACAAAGCATTAAGCCTATACCTTCTTTTTGACGGCTTAAAAATATGTCTGACTGCTCTAGCCTTGCAGTGTTGACTGCGTATACTATTTGAGATTTATACATTATTGGGAATATATAACCAAATGGATATTTAAAGAAATCTGGGGTACATAGGGTTGCAGTTACCTACATCTAGTTTAGTTTTTATCAGAAGTCTTTGGGAGCTAAATAGGGGACCTTTTCTTGGCTATAGATAAAATAATTCCCTACTCCCCAGTATTGTTTTAGATTCACATTTGGCCCAGGTTTTTAAAAACACTATAATGTTATTCACTGGATCCTAATAACATTTCTCATGCTTGAGTAAATATTATAAACTTTGCAACTAATAGGATTATTAACCTATCCATTTCTGGATTTGTATTATTTGAAGTAATATCATCTTGCTTAATTTAAAAGCTAATCTCATGTTCTTTTTTTTAAAAAAGTACACAGTTAAGAGCATTATGACATGAACGCATGCAGACAGATTTGCCAGATTACATGGCACCAGTGATTGGGGACCTGATTTTTTTATGATTAAGAAACTTGACCACAGTAAAACATGGTCTGCAGAACTGTGAATTGCATATCGGTATTGTAACATCCAGGAGCAAGACTCTGGGTCAGTTTAATTGCAAAACAGAGACCAACCAGTGCAGGGACTTAATGTTAACTGACAGGGTCTTGGCCCTCCAGCATGCTTCATTGAAGAATGATAGGCTAGATGGACAAATACATGTGAAGGAACAGCTAACTTCAAAGGAATAAAAATGCACTGACTCAGAAAAGATGAGTCAGCCACTATGTTGGAGGGTTTGAGAATGGCCTGGTAATCTGTCCATGGATCCTGAGCGGGTGAATTTTGAGCCACGACACCAAGCCTGGGGACTGTTGCCAGTGAGTGCAGCTGCCTAGAGGGAACCTTGACATAGGCACTGCAAATTATCCAGATATTCCAGGAATTTAGAAAGAAGTTAAGACACTCTGTTTCTTATAAGGAGGAATGTTTTATGAGACATGGTGGCTTAGATACCTGTTCCCGTCAAGCTTACTAATAAATAGGTCTGATTCCAGATCAGTAAAGCATATCTTGTCTAGCAGTTCCTCAGTAGATTTGTGACTTGTGACTGTTATGACACTTGCATATGTTATCCTTCTCTTAGGAATTTTTTTTCTTGGTCACTTGAATTTAAATTTGACCTCTTTGAGGAAAATAGGCCTAGCTACTGAAGTATATGTTGGCTACATTAATTTATTTTTGGGGTGTGTGAGATTGTCGGTGCATACAGCATTTCTGTTGGTTTAAAAGCACACTTTATATAGTAGATATGGCAGATGCTCTGGCCATGTCAACAGCAAAGTTGAGGCTTCCAGGCCATACCATGGAATAGGGTTGGACTACAGTGGAATCTCATCTCTTCTGCCCATGGCATTGAGGTCAGACTCCTTTGCATGACATACAATATCTTGCGTGTTTTTTTCCACTATAGTTGGCAAAACAACAACCAAAAGGCGGTAAGGGAAAAGAAGCAAACATTTGGTTTTCACGTGTGCTCAGCACTGTTTATACATCCTGTAGGAATAATAAAGTAAGACTAGCAGAAACAACAGCTTGGTTTGGAGAGCTCTCTGGAGTGGGAGACAGGGAGATGGAAGAATATTACTGGCTCTGTCTCAAACTTGCCATCTTAAATGAATCTCGGGAGAGTTGCCGAGCCTCAGTTTCTTTTTAGATTTGTAAGAAAAGCCAGATTATAATAGCTCCAGAGTTTGATTTTTTTTGGGGTTTTGAAAGTCTGTAAGAAGTGCCTCCTCTTTATTTCTAAATGCTATGCAGAATTTCTTTCAAAAGTATTTATTGAGTGACATGCTTCAGAGGTGGGGCTGTGGCAATAAATAAGACTGACAAGATTCTGGTCCATTCTCATGGGATGAGGCACACAAATAATAAATGAAAGAGCAATTAACTACCGGATAACTACAAATTATGGTAATTACTTTGAAAAAAATGAACAGAATAATAAAATGCTTATAAAAGGGACTAAAAAGAGATACTTTACATGGGATGGTTAGGAAAGCCTCTCTGAAGAGATGAACTTGATGGGTGAAAAGGAATCAGCAATACAGAGAACTGGAGGGAAGACTGTTCCAGAGAGAGGAAACAGCAAATGCAACATTCTGTTTTATTAAATGGGCCAGATTGGTTTTTGCAAGTTTCGATCATAGCTATAAACTGTACATTTTATTTTAAGATACCGCAATAAGAACTAACTCTACATCTTTTATCTCAGGTTCTGGAGCCTAAGTGTTAAATTAGTAGGGACCCAATTGCTATTTTCAGAATTGAAAGCAAATTTAAATACAAAGTAATATAAATGTCATTTCCATCATTTTGTGGTATGTCTGGTCTGTGCTCCTAGTTTATGTCCTATTTGGATAGATGTGTGATAGAGTCATGGGTTGCCTTACCAAAAGATACAGAATCTTGACAGAGACATAGGTAGTTACTTAAGCAATGATTGGCAAACTTTTCTGTTTAGCTTCAGAGTTGAGTGAAGAGAGGCAGGCCTTTTGGGGCCTGCTTATTATAACAGGAGGCAGCTGTAGTAAGCTCATATATATTTGAATGTTTCTGCTTTATCCTAGAAATTAACCAAAGTTTGTATTCTGT